TGTTGTGGGGGGGGGGGGAATAAATGTAAATTTAGCTGAAGGTAACAAATAAGAACAACTGCAACTTTACATTCAACTACATCAAAGGAACTTTATAGGTAGCTCCTTCTAACACCATCATGACTACATTCATTGCAACAATTTTGTACTCTACATTATTATGGTAAAACAATATCAATTCAAACCCAATGAATCTTAACATGGATATTTCACGTTACATGTATCATATATGCGTGTGCATATATATATATTGAGCATCTAATGGGAGCAAATATATAAGGGAGGGAAAAAAAAGGTGAGGAAAGGTACCAAAAACGATGGGTATTCAAAAGGAGGGTTCAAAAATCAACACCTTCCCATCCCTCTCCTTTTTGCCATTAACGTGAAAGAAAATGGATGGTTCTGCCCTTCACCCCCACTCTTCCTCTCTTTTTTCTACCCATCCCTCAAACATAATTTCCTCTTTTTGTAAAAATGAAATACAATGAAGCAAAAAAAAAAACACCCTCTAATATATCAAGCAAGCACAAATTTAAACACATGTTCACAAATGTAGAAAAAGCAGGTAAGTGTATCTATTTATGCATACAGAAGAAAGATGACCAGTTTCTAGCTTCAGCATGAGATTAGGGTAGCTGTTAGATGCACGGTCCATTCTTTCTTCTATAAATACGTATCAGCTCGAACAACCCACCCTCTGGTTTCTGCAAGTGCGTTTTCACATCTTCATCTTCAAGAGAAATTAACTTGTAAACCAAAACAGCAAAAAGAGGGTTTATGTTTTCAAGAACACGCTATTGGAAAAGCAGATGCAGCAGTTAAGTGTTATTGAATCCAACATATATATCTCAAGAACTGTTATTTTTTTCCCCTTTGGTTAAGAACAGTTTTTTCTCATGAGCTAGCTAACCCGGTAAGTTTGATGATCACAAGTAGTGCCCTTTGATCCAATGAACCCTAAAAATCAGAGCTTTATTGTCATCGCAGTCGCAGCCATACAACCGGAGCTACATTCCGGTGAACCAGCTCCTCCAGCCTAATCAGCATTTCTCCTTCCAAGACCAACCTCCTCTCCAGCTTGTCTAATAAATCCGAGGTTATGGGTACACATATTCACTCGAGCGAGACGATATATGTGTATGTACATATATGCACGTATATGGTCCGATGATGTCTATGTTGACCTTTAAGTCCATGCTTAAACCTAAATCCATATACTCACATTTCTTTAGTTTCTTCGCACTGAAATTCAGTCGGGTTATCGAGTGTTTACGTCATTTTAGAGTTTACATATTAAGAGAACACTAGATGAGTGTCCAAATATAAAGCCTCCTCTTCAGATTTTGGGTTAATAATGAAGAAGTGTGTACATATGTGTGTATATATGTATGTGTGTGTAGTTTCTCTAAGTGTATGGACATGGAGTATGAGAGGAGGCTGAAGGCCGAAACTTCTTCCCTTCGTTCTCACACCACAGAGACTTTCTCGGCTTTTCTTCTTTTGCCATTTTTCTCCGTTTCTTCCTTGTTCCTATAGAGAGGGGGGGCCTTTGCCTTTTTAACGCTCATTAGCTGAGGACCTTGCACTTTCTGATGAATCTGTCAGATGAATTTACATGTCGGAACCAGAGGGGTCTTACCTCCGGGTTACCGATCTCGAACCATGGCTTTGCAGGGTTGCTGAAATGCACCACGGCTGCAGCTTCTATAACCTCTTTAGGGGCTTCCATGGATCGGGATCCCAGTCCAGCCACGTGCCATGATGGGTCCAGACCGTGTACCTGATCTTTGAAAGCGAGTAATGCCGGTGGTAGAGCTCCTGGTTTCCACATTTCCAGACCGGAACTCAGGCTCTGCATTATAATTAAGGAGACTGTGTCAATATCACAACGAAATTTTACAGGTCGTGTAATGTGAATATGGCGAAAGGAAATGCGATACTCACAAGCCTTAATGACGTGAAGTATGCTTCTGTGATATTGGTTTGCCTCCAGGCTTGGAGATCGAAGACATTCATGCCCGAAAGCCATGCGCAGTGATTTGGATAGAAGCTTGACGATATGAGTGGATGCGAGAAGTTGAAATAGTCTTTGTACTTTCTTCCTGGGCAGCAGTTTTCTCCGCACCACGAGCCGAAAACTGCACCAACAACTTTACCGTTGAGATCCGTTTCCCACAAAGATGAAATGTCTCGTTGTACTACTACATCATCATCCAACAACACTATCTTGTTGAGATCTGGAAAGAGCTGTTCGGTCCATGAAAAAAGAAATCAAGATGATGATAAATAGATGGGTTCGTGATTGTATATACATAGAGATTCTTGTGGAAAATCTTTGAGGGACTTACCTTGGGAATGTATATGCGAAGATGGTTCAAAAGGGAGAGGCAACCAGGGCTTAGAGCTTGTAAGGATTGCTTATGGCCATCAATGGAACCGAAGCCAACTTCTTTCAAGTTTCTGTAATGCCGTCTCCAAATCAAGCGATGAATCTCTAGCATCTCTTTCACTCTCAAATTCACCTCCTGAGGCCAATCAAACTGATGAAGTCCCTTCACTTCAACAACCGGTGATGAAACAGAGTTGATGGCAAACCAAGCGTGCATCGGAGTATAAGTTTTCTTATCGGTGACAATATGAAAGACAAACTTCTCGGGATTTACAGCATTTTTTATGGTAGAAGAGATGACAACGGAGGCAGCAAGAACGTTATCGGTCAACATAACAACATGGTGAAAGGATGGATCAGTGAGGCGAGAGACGAATTCTGGTGGAGGGAAACGAGCACGAGCCATTGAATTTATAGAGTACTCTTCAGTTAGTCTGAGGGTGAGGCAGTGTAGGCTCTTGGGAACACCGTGCGAGGCTAAGTGCCAGTAAATCATCTCATGCTGTTTTGATGATTGAACTTTGCGTTCCATCTCCATCAGCTGAAAGTAAACAAAGAGTAGCATCATATGAATTTAGACGAGAAATAAGACATAAAACTAGATAACCTTGTCTTTCACTTGTTGCTAAGCTGATAAATGCATGTCTGATAATCTGTAGGCTCCAATACAAATAATCACAATTCAAATGGAGTACCTAGTGTCACTAGTTTTGTCTCTTTAAATCAGCTTCAAGATTTCTACTTGACAGTCATTACCTATGAAGGCAAAGTAAAGGATACTAACTAGCTCTGAATTTCCCAGACAACGGCCACTTTAGCAACAATGCTGACCAAATTCCTACATTCATCCATTAGCGAGAATATCATAAGCTATTACCGTCAGTAGACCCATTATTTTATAAGCTATGAGATTTTAAAATTAGCGATCCATTACTGCATCTTTTCATTTCTTAGATCAATTTTCTTGAACTTGGAAATGAGGCGATGTTGTTGTTGTACATCTATGCTCAGGGCCAAAACCAAAGATATTAACACCAACTGAACTAGCTACTAACCATTTTCTTAGTGACGGAAGCAAAGGCCCTAATATCGCGGCGTTTTGACGTCATCTCCTTGACAAGGTCATTGAATGACTCCAACGAACCCTCATTTCCACTTCTCTTACCGTCATTATCTGTTTCTTCCACAAGCGCTCGAATCAGCTCCTCCCCGACTTTCTGCATGAGCCAAAGAAAACTTTCGTCACATCGTCTTGATGTCAAATGATGTCAGAAAGCCACAAACTGCCGTAAAGAGCAGAGCTTTTAGTGCTACCGAGAAATTGAAAGCAGAGTCTTTATTGGAATTCTACCCCCCTCGTCCACGAGGAGGCACATTCCGCTGAATGAACGCAGTACTAAGTTACTAACACAATACAGCAGGAAAGAGGCTTCTTTTTCCATACAATCTTCTTCTTTTTTTCTCGTAGCAGCACTATGGAAGTGCTGATAATTCCATTTCATATTTGTGAATTATTAATCGAAATTTGATTTAGAATCTTTTACGCGGATGAAACGTCTAAATTAAGAAATCAGTAATATATTGGACTAATACGTTGATCGATACTCACTAGAGATGCGTCGCCTCCACGGAAGAGTCTCCATCCCATGCAATCTGCGAACACATCAGCCAGAAAATGGTAATATTATAATCATAACAAAGTGATGGGAGAATTTTGTTCCAATTCGAAATCGATAAGTGTGGCAGAATCCACGAGTTGAAGTTTTGCTTAGTTATTTTCAAACATCTGAATGATGCTCCCATTTTTCCGGATCAATTAAAGGGCATCGCGGTGCAGAAAGCATCCCGTTGAGCGGGATCCGGGGAAGGGAAATTTGAAATCAGCGAAACTTGCGAAATCTCAGAATATTAGAAACACTAGAGATTGAAGAAGAAGTTACCGAGAGGAGAATCGCAAGCAGAGGCAGATTCGAGGACGAGAAACGCGATCCTGACCAAAAGAAAAGGGAGCACGACGGCGAGAAGCAGTAGGAGCACCAGCAAAGCCGTGCGACTAGGAAACCTCCTCATCCCGGTCGCCACCGCCACTCCTCCGCCTCCCCCCTTTCCGAATCCTGCGCCGGGACTCGGTATAGTGACTTTCTTAATCGCCGTCGCCGATATGTAAAACTTCATATTCTCACACTTTCTCACACTTTCCCTCAATTTCCCTCAAGTTCCATCGGTCCAAACACTCCGATATGAACCCTTTTCCAGATCTCCGACCTGGCTGCTGGTGCTGCTTCACTTCCGCACTCACTGGAAAAAAAAAACACTACACGAATCGATCCTACCTCAGTGATCGGAGATCGAAGATGCAAACAAACACGTCCACGTTTGAAGACGATCGATGAACATTGGAAACTTCGATGAGCAAACAGAGACGGGGATCGATCTGTATGAAGGAATAAGAATACATTCAAATACAAGAGGGATTTCCAAATAAACCAGAGAAAAAAGAAAGGTCGAGATATTCACCAACGTAAACGAATTTTTAAAATATTTCCAAAAAATATATAAATACATGTGGGATCGTACTCGTAGAGAATAGTACGAAATTACAGGAATAGCCTTTGTCACCGACACATAACTGGTGCCAAAGGCGGCAAAGAGCGAGAGTTCAGTGCGGGCGAGTACATGGGAGTTACGGTGCGCTGATCATGGATATTACCGTCCATAAATGATGTTTACTATAAAAAAAAAAACAATGGGGTTCCTTTGGATTTGTCAAACTCATATATTAGTTAACGACATTAATTGCTGAAGACTATGTATATGTAAGATATAATGTCATACGAATACCATCCATCCATCCATGCATGCATATAGGGGTGTCAATAGAACCCGAAATCCAAAGTCTGGCTCCAAGCCCGCCCAAAAAATTAAGGGCTTAGACCTAATAATATAAGCCCGGTAAATAAATGGGCGGGTCGGACCGGTCCGAAAAAAGTTAGGACAGAATCCCGTCCGACCCGAAATCCGTCCGACCCACCCATTTAGCCCGAAAAAATATTATATTATTAGATTTTTACTTTCATTTGAGATTTAATACCACATAACATTATATAAAAACTTTTATTTATATGTTTTATATATATATATATATATATATTTATATTTCAAAGCAATTTGATTAATATATATTAAACTTATATTTTTTATATATATATATATTATTAAACAATTTAATTAGATTTTGGTTTAATTAATTTATATATATATATATATATATATTTATAAGCAATTTGATTTATATATATTAAACTTATATTATATATATATATATTATTAAACAATTTAATTAGATTTTGGTTTAATTAATTTATAGATATATATATATATAATTTATATTTATGTATATTTTATGAGTTTAATTTTGATTTTTAAATTCTATCTCAATGTTTTTCTATACTTTTTATTGTATCGAATATATTTTTCGTATATTATATATATATTAAAAATATTATATAATTTATATATTTTAAATTTTATATGATTATTTTAATTTTTTTAATTATAATTGATATGGACGAAAATTTGTTATTGTTTTTTTTTAAATTATTAAATTATTATTATTATTGTTATTATTATTATTATATATTAATATTTATTTTTTTATTAAATAGAAAAAACCCGAAACCCGGTCCGAACCCGCCCGAAGTCCTATAGAACCGGGCTCCGGACCACCGATCATAAGCCCAAAAAATAAATGGGCAGGCCGACCCGGCCCGAAAATTTCGAAATCCGAACTAAACCCGGTCTGAACTCGGTCCGACCCGCCCATTTTACACCCCTACGTGATGTAATACTTGTGTATGGGGATATCTCCAAACGGATAGGAGTTGTGGCATTTACGATAATACCCTCCAGCGGAAGAATAAATAGGTTATGGTCCAACCCTTTTATTTACACACGTGGATACACATGCGAACTATACAGACAAAACATTTAGATGGAGACGTCACACCGCCAAGTTTCATACCACACATGGCAACATGATAAAGTTCAACTTTTTGTCAGATTTTTCTTGGAGATGGAGATGATGATGATCATGATCATGATGGTTGTATGTATAATAGGTACATTATCTTTTGCGCATGTCTCCTTTTGATAATGTAAGAACTTGATTTTGAAGGAAGACGGTTGGTCCAAAGGGCAAGGAGTAATGTAAGCAAAAAAAAGAACATTCTTACAAATTTGATGGATCCTTGACACAGACTGTTACATCGGATAGCAAACTGTGACCTGCAGGCTTCAGACCTCTTCTCATCCAATGATTCAACAATGTCCTCTCTAACTTCCTCACCTGCAGAAATCCATTCATTTATATATATACATATATATATATGTCTTATATTTTGTAAAATATATCCATTAAGACAAGCAGCGAGGCTTGAAGACAATGATATGCTTGAATTGAACAGTAACCAACTGAATGCTGACATCTTCTTCACTTAAACTAATTACAGCAGACCTGAACTAAGAGGCATGGAAATGGAGCAATGTGGTTCCCATTCTTGCACTCGGTGATCTAACTTGTACATGAATGAATCTTAATGGCACACAAATGAAAAAAGGGAAAGGAGGTTTACCTGTCTAACGATGAAAGGCTCCTCGGCTCGACTCAATGGCTCGGTTAATATGGTCAGAAACCCGTTCCTGTTTCCGTAAACGATATCTGTGAGCGGCCGATCACCCACCTGCCAAAACAATCATCTGTATCATTCATTCGGCTGCCTCGTATCAAATGCCAAGTTAACCTCTGAGAAGATCATCCGCCATTAGTTACCATAATTAGCTGCGAGGACGGACAACCAAAGTGTTTCTCGATCTCTTCAGCTGTCCCTGCAGGCTTTTTCACTCCTATTGTACAAGTAAAGATAGCATCAGAAAACTTGAAATAGCATCCAGGGCTAATGTAAAAACGAGAAGCTCGAGCTATAGCTTGAAAAACTGAGATGAAAACGTACTATGCCTCAACACTTTAAGTCGAATTTCAGCCTCCAGTGCCCTGGCTTTCGAGCTATCATGATCATATTCGGAGAGCCCTGATTCACCGGATCCGAATGGCAGTCACAAGTTAGAAACTTTATCAGTGAAAATACAGACATTCTTCAACGAAGAAGCGGGATTTACCAGCAGAATTACTAAACACGGCGATGTCATGCCCAAACACGGCCTTACACCGCTCTATGGAAGGTCGGAGCGGTGGCCACAGAGTCAGAGAATAAGGAGCCGTGAGAGTGTTGTCTTTATCGAACACCACGCCATTGAAACCCTTCCGCTTCAGCTCATCCCAGTCAATGTACCTTATATCCGGCACCGAAACGTGCGGCAAAGCCAGGTGATGATCTCTGACCACCACGGAGAGCGAAGAGCAAATGCCCTCGATGTTAACACGCTGTCCGACAGCCGCTTTCAGATCTGTCCACCACATGTTCGACGAAACTCCCACGTCGTCTTCACCCCTCCGACACACAAATTCGGGGGATTCGCCGTTCAAGCCTTCTGGGTTTTGGTTAGCGAGGCCCGGGTCGTCGATCGGAGAGCTGAATTGGAAAAACGGAAGCGAATCTTCGAATGAGGGGTATCGTCGACGCAGTTTGAGGCTGCGATGGTGCAAGATCTGCCGAGAAGATGATGATGACGACGATGATGACGACGATGATGACGACGATGAGGAGGAGGAGGAGGAGGAGCGGATGGGTATGGTGGAGGAGAGGAGATTAGGGTTTCCTTTGCAAGTGGGAGAGGAGAGAAGGAAGCTTTTGGGGATTGGGTAGTAAAAGCTAACGGAAGCAGCCATCGGGCGCCGATTGCATCTGAGACTCGTTAAAATATTTTTAATTAGTTTTCCTACCAAACAAGTAGAGCAATATACAAAAGTTCCTGGTTTCTTGGAGCCGCTCTTTGAACCAAATCCAACCAACATTAACCTCCAATCAAATTATTTGGATACGCAAACGCATATTTGCTTTTAATATTCACCAATACATCAATGCAGCAGATACTATTTGGAGTATATTATTCTCAAATAGAGTACGGACCAGACAAAGGCAAAGAAGCTTCTTACAATTGTCCCTTGGTCGGAACTCTGAAGCCCGCTCCGTGTTTTTTTTTTTGGTGGTCTACCTAGAATCTCATTACCAGTTTTGGTTGAATGCTGTAGATCACTCTCATCACCCAGAAAGAGATGATATTATGAAGAGAACCAAGTTTAAGTTCTCCGGATCAGATCCTTGAGTTCCCATAACCTGGGAAACATATGTGCAGTCTTTGCATACTCTGCACCTACTTCAAACAGATTTAGGATGATGGAGGCAAACCAGTCTATAACCTGCACCAAACATCTTTTAACTTCCAACTTCCGAGTTCCTGTCGGCTATTATTTATCTCCACATTGTTTTGTGTTTTCTTCGGACCAAGATATTGGCAGCTACTCAAGTTTAACAGCGTTCTCTTCCCTTCATCTTCCTTGGCCATGGTCGCACATACCAACTGAAGACAGGAAAGAGAGGGAAAAGGTGGAAGTGTTACCAGAGCAAAATGGAAGAGAGAGAAGCGGACAACTCAGCCAGGGGAAGATAAAGTGATCACAGGACACAGATGCATCTGTTAAACCCGATGATCTGTTACATTTCACAGAAAAAAAAGCTCCACAAATCTATCCAACCCCGCCCATAACGGACGAATCTAGGCCATCTTATTCTTGTTGATTCTGGAATGAAAGAAGAACTGATTGTAGAGTTTTCCAACATACCAGACCTGAGGTAACAGAACAAAAGAACCTTTTCATCTCTGACCAAGCCTGAAGGGATAATGCATCATGTGCCAGACGACTCTTATAAAAGAAGTGATCTTCATGTTGGATGACCACAAAACTTTTGCTGGTTCAGGCACGGGAAAACTCAAATTGCCTAGTGATACTTGAAAGAATGTAGTCATCATCAGCTCAAAATGAAGATACTGGAGATTCATCCAGTGACACATTTCTTTATCCAGAAATCTTTTCCACGAGAACCAGAAATCTTTCAAGATGAAGTTCCTGAATCCAAAAATGAAGACAACCCATGATAGAAGGAAACGAGAACTTATGCCTGTACGTAAAAATGCAGTTTTAGGTTCCACATCCTCATTACCTTGACACTGGAATGACATTTTCAGAGACCTACCTTGTCCCCAAAGCGATGCATGATCAATTTCATGCAAGAATTGATGTCGGATTCCTTGAGCTTCTTCGTAGTTCTGACCCACGAAATCCAGGTAGGGTAATACAAAATCATCACAGAGCACAACCATGGTATACGAGCCCTGGAGTTGCCATTTCTAACAAGCAATTAATGAAACGCAGTTCCAGGGAACATGGAAATACAGCAGAACCCCTACCCAGAACCAGATCATAAAGTGGCAAATATTCAGAAACATGTTTCTATTGATTTACTTTGTTATTCAGCAAACCGCGCAGTGCTGGAAACAATTTCATAAGACAACTAGAGAGGTGATGAAGAAGTTATCAAATGCATTCGATAAGCCGAAGATTCAACAAAAACAAGAAAACCAACAGCCAAAAACATCACAAGCTCAGATATCAAAACCAAGCAAAATCGTGGCAACCTATAAAGCATAACTGATATCGATTGTAATACTGAAAGAGCAATCCTCAACAATGGCTCCAGTACCTACGATAAATCACCCTCGCTTCGAATAGCAGACAAACAAAGTTGCCGCTACCAAACCAACAGCTCCAACAGACCCAGCAGCAAGAACAGGCCATTGTTGTGACTTCACTTCCAAGAAACTGTTCTGGTCACAATTACTGACCTTCCTTGTTCCAATTCCATTATTAGACTCAATGATCATCTCCTTCAACCCAGCCATTGTTATCTTCGCCTCCTCGATCAGCTTCAGCAACTCCTCCATCTTCAACCCCAGCTCAATCTCCCTTTTCTCTGATTCTCTCAGAGCATCCTCTGCAAGCTTCTTCTCCCACTTGCATTTCTCCACATCCTTGCCATTCCTCACCGTTTCCAGCTTCAAGCCCGCAATTTTCTTCTGAAACTCGCTAATCTCTCTCTCCTTCCCACCAATCTTCTCTCTCATCTCCTCTTCCACTCTAAGTTTCTTGCTCTTCTCCTCCATTTCCCTCACTTCCAAAATCCCAACTTTCCGTTCAAGATCCCTAACCTTCTTCTCTGTCTCGGCCCTCGCTTTCCTCAACACCACCACTTCCCTCTCAGAGGCCTCCAACTTCTCCCCCTTCTCCGCCGCCGCCTTTTTCAGCTCGGCCACCTCCGCCGCCACCTCATCCCCCGCGCTCATGGTGGAGATCAGATCGTGCTGAAGCCGCGAAACCTCTGTCTCGAGCTCCACTGCTCTCGCGGCAATGGATTCAAGAGCCTTCTTCTCTTCCTCAGCCTGCTCGAACTCCTTCTCCATCTCGCCGAACCTCTGGTTCATCTCCGCTTCCACGCCTCTCAGCTCTTCCAATTCACCTGTCAGCCGCTCCAACCTCTCCTTCATTTCCAGATTCACCCGTGTCAGCTTCTGCTTCTCGTCCTCCAGTTCCTCCATTCTTCGTTTCATTTCAGCCGTATTCCCGCCGCCGCTTTGATCGGAATCGGAGAATCCCTTCGCCGCCAAATCGTCGACATCACCGTCGATAACCACCTCATCTGCCATGTGTGTATGTAACTAAGGAATCCACCTCAATAAACCAGTAAGAGAAAAACCCTAGTTTTCCAGATTCCGTGGATCGCTGTGAGGCCGAAATGGAAACCGAAAGGAGGACTTTCTTGAGGCAACCTTTTCAATTTTCCGGGAAAAGGGAATCGAAAAGATTCGATTAGGGTTTCCGATGGAGCAAATGGCGCCGAGAAATCGGAGCGGTTGATGCGAAGACATTCCGATGGGCTCGTTTTTTATAATACGACAATCTAAGCCCAATAGACCAACTTAGGCCCATATATACCCAACGTCCATTTGGTACCATATGCATATATATATAAAAACTAAAATGAAGAAAATATTATTGGAAAAAATGCCAAGATCTTTTTTTTTCCCACCACATTGTTATCTAAATGTAAAAAAAATAATAAAGGAAAACGGAGAATGGATGTGAGGGGGTCAGCCATGGAAGGTCGAGAAGTCGTCGTCCATCTCGAAGCGGTGGAGAAAGGAAGAGAGAAGTCTCATGGCTTTGATCTGACAGCGGAGAGACAGAATATAAGAAGCAGTCTGATCGAAGAGCGCGTCGTTTCCAAGCGCCGCCGCACCAGGCACCATCTTCTTCAGCAATGCTATCTTCTCCTCCACCTCCTCCTCCTCCTCCGGCGGCGGCGGCGAGAGTTCGGTCGGAGCCTTATCCATTATGTCCGTCCTGTTTGTGAGTTGCGAATGATGGGAGGGGCTCTTGGGGTTGGGGGGACTGTTAAATTATGAGGGAGTTGCAGAAATGGCTAATGCCATCGAAGCAAGCTGGGTCCAGTTGTACTACATGGCTTCTCTTTGGTAGGCGCGTGATATCCACGCGGCCTTTTTAGATGTTTCACTCTCAGTGGACACGTCAGCCGTATGGATAATTCTCTCTCTCCCCCTCAAAGAATTACTTTTATATTTTATTATTAGAATTTGATTTTTTTAATAAAGAATATAAACGAATCAATCGGCACTATATATGTATATACACTACTTACGCGCGGGGAGATGGCGCGTGACAGAAAGGAAGGAAGGAGGGATCGGCTGCGGCATGTCGCACAGAAGCCGAGGGAAAAGAAAAGAAAAGCACATGTGCCCTCACATGAACTTCTTGATCCCAACACCCTTTCCCATGTGATATTATCTTTTTCCATACTATGTATGCATATACACTGCTTACATAGTGCATATATACACATGAACATATACATATATATAATGGATTGGATCCAGTCAATCTAGATAGTGTAGTTTTAAGTGGATGATCCAGTTGCAGCAAATTTCCACGTGACCACCACAGTCGGCATGGTTGCCACGTGGCAAATATTGGGTCCCATTTATTTGTCAAAGAATACAAATGCGCTAGTAAGTTATTAAATACCCTATGGTTAAAATACAAATTCAACATGGGAGAGATGGCGCTTGTCTTATTGTTTATACATGGATCACAATGTAAAATCTAGGGTTTGATAGCATATACATATACATATATATGTGTGTTTGTGTGGATATAGATTGAGCTTGGATGAGCAATAAATAAATGGTGGGCAGGCGGGGTGATGTTTCCAACGAGGGAACGAAAGATACGTTTGGTATTGGGATTTGAGATTTTCATATCCGAGTGGCTTTTGCATTCATTTCAACACGCCATGGACAAAATAATTATATCGTATGGGCCTAATACCTTAGAAAAACCAAAGGTCCATGATCCTTTCCATTATAATTTATGATATATATGTATATGTGATTATATATGCATATCCACAAAAATTATCCATCGAGTATATGAAATAAAATCCCCAGAGACTCTTTTGTCAGTCGGAGAAAACAAGACCAACTAAAATATATAAACATTTTTTGGCAGTCCACTCGCGTTGAAACACAAGAGACACGGATCGTATATGGGACGATCTTCGAACCTGACAATGTCTTTAAACACCAAATATGCGCTCCGACAGACACTTCAGTACATCTTCGACACACCGTACCGAACAGCTCCAGCGTTATGGTGAGCAGAGCCACTAGCTGTGACCGCCGTAGCAGCTCCGATTCTACTGTACCGAGCTGCCGACGTGGCCTGTAACAGGTTTGTGTCGATGACAATCCGTTCGCTTAGGCTCTCGACCTTGTTCATTCCAGTTCTTGTCGCGATAAACGGGTTGTTGTCTATGTTGATGGCCACTTCGGGGACGTACCCACAATGCTGAATTTGCCTCGGATGGGATGAGACGCTCTTCTCGGGTTCCATCGTCATGTTATCTTGTTTTCCGATGGTAGAGTTGTGGTAGTTGCAGGGAACCATGGGTGAAGGGATGAAAGTGGTGTTCCGGATGAATGATCTTGGACCGTATATATCTCTCCCGGCTCTTCCATTGTCGAATGTCGGAACTGGGACTATACATGTACTCATTTTGGTGGTTGTATTCAGTTACAGACAAAGAGATGAGTTCTGTCTCGAAATTACGTTTTTAAATAATAACTCGAAATATCGGATTGGGGAACAAGGTTAAAGAGTACCTGACAGGTTTCTTTGAGATGTTTGTAAAGTCACGTGTTGATTCATAGTAACGTTTTGAACCATTTCAGGCTCCGAAGTGTTTGGATTATTAGCTATTTTCGGTTGCCCTCCCCGAGTCACCGTACTTGAGTGTATAACTGTCGGTCTGAAAGCACGAAAACATGAAAACTTTTGTAATCTGACACTGACACAGAGTCGTAAGAATGAAATGGATATGACATCAAGATATATAGATACAGGAAAGCAATTAACAACTATCTAGTGGTGTTGCTCCGGGGAAGAACAACGAAAGGGAAACCCGAAAACAGTTCAAAGTACCACATATATTCCGGAAGAAATATGAATTTATACCTAGGAAGAGAGATATGCTTCCTTTCTAGATGAACCGTTCTCCCTCCGCTTTCCTCAAGATGAGCAAACTGTCTTCTGAATTGATCGACGACACTGCACAGTGGTAAATATTTGCATTAAAATCAGGGGAGATATGAGAGAACAGGTAATCTACCTGCCTGAGTAGAAGTTAAACGTACAGTAACGAATTTGTTCACAAACATTAGGACCTTGGATAGAGAAAGCCGGCCTTATCCGTCCCATTCATGTAATCTTTTAGCAGCTGAGGATGGTATTCGAGTATCTCTCGAAAAATCAGCTCTCTTATTTCCTCTTTCGTGACCTTTCGTCTCTCGAACTCGAATTCCATTTTCGTGATTGGCTGACACGAAGGCTCCCTCTCAACTTTTGCCAGCCCCTTGAAATATGGATCAGCAAGTGCCTGATAAATAGTAAAAATGACAAACCTCAATTTTAAAATGTGGCTCCAAAAAAGATCAAACATGCATGATAAACTCTCTACTTGATAGGAAAAAAAAAAGATATTGTTGAAATAAGACGAGGAAGAACCTCTTCAGCAGTTGGTCGATCTTTTGGATCAAAGGCAAGAAGCCTCCCTAACAGCTTCAGAGCCAACGGATCAGCGTTCAGGAATTTCTGAGCAAAAGGAACGGGTGGCTTTTTCCTCATGGTTGTTAAATACTTCCTTGCCTTCTCATTTCGTACCTGCACAATTAACCACAAGCATTATCATCTATGTAAGTCTTTCATTTAGATATGTCGAGATTCAAATGTGTGTGTTCCTTTCACAATAAGACCATTACCTTGGAGATGGTGTCCAGCGAAGGTGTCCCGAGCAGATCTGTCATCAGATCAAGTTGATGAACAACATTGTTTCCCGGGAAAAGTGGTTTTCCTGTTAATACCTCCGCGAAAATGCAACCTATACTCCATATATCGATTGCAGGAGTATACTACAAAGCCAAATACATCACGCGTTATCTTGTGATGAAAATTAATGCAAGGTTTGAACCTAGAAACAACAAGATGCAGTCTGTCTTCAAGAAAATACTAAAAGACCAGTGACTTATTGAGTTTGAAAGTTGAATCACAATACACCAATTACAGATGTTATTGACGATAGATGAACCACCTTAGAGTAAAATGATCCACAGAGTTCCGGAGCTCTATACCATCTTGTAGCAACATAGTCCTACAAAAATACCCAAATAAAGTTGAATAATATAATATCAACTCCCTATGTATTGATCAAAATTTAGACCAAATTCAAGTCAGTAGAAGAAAAAAACTCTTAATGAATCATACCGTCCAGAAGATTGTTGTTGCTGTGTCGTTGAAAGCAACCCTTGCAAGCCCAAAATCACAAATCTTAAGTTTACAGTTTGCATTAGCCAATATGTTCTTTGGTTTTAGGTCTCGGTGGTAGACATTAGCTGATACAACCAAAAGTATATGACACACAGGTGTAAATTAAGACACAATAACAAGATAAATTTGAACAGGCAAATATGACTTAATAGAAGTTCCAATACATGAAGAACAACACGAGAGCTTTGCAACCATCTATGATGCATCCACTCAAGGGTTTATGAAATAAATCGAGAAGATCCGGATAAACCAAAGTAAAATTCCAAGCAGAAAAGACAACCTTGCAGTATATTCTAGGTTCTAAGCACAAAACTATCCATTTTTTTTTTTAATAAAAAAGAAGGTTAACTCATAGAGGGAAATAAGAACAAAGATAAGAACTAAAACTTGTTTTTTAAGGGAAGGGAAAAACGAGATCTTACCAGTGTGAATATATTTTAGTGCACGGAGCAATTGGTAGAGGAAAAATTGATAATGCTCTCTTGTCAAATCATCGTTTGCTTTGATGACTTGATGGAGATCTGATTCCATGAGCTCGAAAACCACAAAAATATCTTTAAATTCTCTCCTTGAAGGAGGAAGCATAATGTGTTTAATTTCAACGATATCGGGGTGCCTTAGCAGTCTGACCAGCTTTGTCTCACGTAATATCCTTGCAGCATCTGATATGTGCTCAAAGATATTGTGTATCTTCTTTATAGCCACTTTCTCGCCAGTAAGGGTGTCTATAGCTGAACATACTACACCATAACTGCCTTTATCAATCACTTCATGAATCTTAAATCTATTGGCGTCGCCATATTCAGAAAAGAATTCGATCTCCAGAGAATTCTGTTCACAAAAAGAACGAGTCAGAGAAGACTTCAGTGCAGGATACAACTCGTACAATTGCGGTTCTCGGAAAAATATACACACACACACACAAACATTAAGCAATGCATTACTTATAAACCCTCTGAATTGAATGGAAAAAACTCCAACATTGCAGGAATTATATAAAAAGCATGCTATTGAGGCCAAATTCTGATAGTGCAGACATGGAAAGAGCAAATGATCTCCATACCATAGCCTCTTGTATGGAACGCAAGGTATATTTGTGTTGTCCAATGTAGATCAATTCTTTTTAACTAAAACAAAATCTCGTTGTTTCTTGCAAACCAAACAACTTTGGACAACAACACCACTAAAAGGCGACAGCCGCGACACCTTCCAATGAAATCAATTAGTCTCTAGAAATAAATCCAATGGAACTGGAAAAGCCAACAGGGGATGACCAAAACCAACAAAAATTGATTGAGAATACCCATAAGCCCAAGCACACAAGTGAAGAGACAAATACAAAGATAATATGAATCAAAGAACTTATCTTCAATCAAAAGGGATAATTGACATTGCGACAAGGATCGAGGTATTCAGGTTCAAACCTCGTTCCGAGCCAAAGTTTTCAGAAACAGACAAAAATATAATCTGATGTAGGAGGTTTGGAATTGTGATTCAGAAAGAAAAAAAAAACAAATGACATAAATTGGTTCAAAGTAGAAGCATAATAAAACTCAAATGGATCGAAGGTGAACTCTTGAAACAGGAAACAAATATTTTCGATGACGCATATTGTCTTAATTAAGCGTTGTCCCTTTTCACCCGCAACGTACACAAAATCCAAATACCGTCTCTCTCTAGAATAAATAGAAACCATTTTTGTCCAAAACGGGAAAAGAAAATCCAAATAAAAAACAATATTAAGCCAAAACCATTAAATACCAAACAATAACTGGAGGAATCGATAAAACAACGAATTCGAGTAAAAACAAAATCACCTTCTTGCGATGAACTTGCTGCATCGTGCTCACCGACAACTGAATCAAGCAAGTAGAAGAAACCACGAGAGAGAGAAAAATCCTAAACCCCTGAATTTGGGGAACCAGGGTAGATCTGAAAGAGGCGAAAAAGAATCAATCAGATTAGCCGCATTTACCCCATCTGCCGCTACTTCGAATAACGAGACCGGAATCCAACCTGGTTCTGCTGCGACAATCGATCGCCGACGGACAGAGAACCAAAAGCGAATTTCTCATGCAACACTCAGGCGCAACAGAAACCCTCTCCATGTTCAGACACCAAACCACTGAATCAGACAATATAAGCTAACATAAATCAGAGAGCAAATGAAAGCTGAGTAGGAACAACAACAACATTGTTTCGGATGCATATTTCCCCCGGAGAAATCGAAGGGACTCGTCGTGGATGAGATATGATCACCGACACAAATAAGAAGAGCCAGAGAGAAAGAGAGAGAGAGTGAAAACGAGATGAAAAAGAGATAAGGAACAAATCTAGAGGGGATTATATATAGGGTTAATACCGTTTTTGGTGAGCTGCCCTTTTTCAAATAAAAAATAAAAAATCCAAACAGTTAATAAACCAAAACCGCTTGGTTAAATTTGATTTTATTACAATTACTATACTTATCATAATATAAATTTTTTTATTTTTTATTACGTCTTTATTATTATTGTTTTTGTTATCTTCACTACATTCGTTCGTGTTAGTTATATTGTGAGGGAGTCCAACGTCTTTTATATAAAAAAAAATACTATAATATTAATATGTTTTTTTATGAAGATTTTGTCAGTCCATAGGATTATTATAAAGGTAACAAGTTTTTATATTTAAATGAGAGTGGCATGGCAGTGTAATTTTATGAGAATAATGGGGGTGAAAAAGTAATAAGGAGGGAAGGGGTTTGCGGCAGATTCTTTTCTGCGGTGGAGCCCCCAAATCAGTCCTAACGTTCTAGAAGAGAAATACCCACACAGAGACAGAGGGTTTGGAGCAGTGCAGGTCCCTTTTGCCTCTTATCCAAATTCACTGCCATGTCATCATGGACACGTGTCCTTCTACCCTTTCATGACAAGTGGCTGTCAAAAAAAAAACTGCAATCGTAATTTATTTTTAGTAAAACTCGTAATTATGTAAAAAATACGCAACAAAAAATTTCAAATTCAAACAGAAGAAATAGTTATATAAAAATCAAAATCATATAGCATAATATAGAGAGAGAGATCGTTCCGGTCTCTATGGGCCCAAAACAGAAGAAATAATTATAGACCCATTGCTACTAGATCGAAATTCTTCAAGGCCCACGTATCTTGTGTGTATATATACACATTATATTATTATTATATATTATAATGTCACTGATTATTATTATTGTGGTTGTTATTTAAATGGCCTTTTCTATCTCTTGTAAACTCACCATTTAAAACCATAGAACTTGTCAGTATTAGTTCTCTTTGCCACGTAGACATCCATGGCAGCTGCCACTGACCAGAGTCTCCTCCAACCTCTCATACACAGACCCGCTGGAGGAGACAATGCCACGTCGGATTCAGATTCAGGTATTCTTCTACGTCTTCTCTCTGTGATTCTCATCGGAGCAGTCTCCTTGTGGGCAAACCGCGAAGCCGCCAAAGGGTTCGACATAACCATCGTCAACAATGTCAACAACTCCCCTGTCGGCAGAAAATTCGATCTCTTCTATCGATCGGACGATAAAGCCTGTCGGATTCTACTCAGCACGAGCTCCTTCGTTGAGAGACTCCTCTACGATAGGGTTCCCCTTCATCACCGGAAGCTCGTGAGCCGAGTAACCGTCCGTCTCTCCGGCGAAAACAGCACCGTAAGAATTCCGGTAACTTCCGGCGCAAGTCACGGGGATTACGTCATAAGCTTGAGCTCGTCTCTAATGGAGGACAGAGACTATGACCGCATCATAACATCGACATTGCGACGTGCCATGGTTAGGATATGGCTATGGGGGGACGAGGCCGGAGCTCCGCTGCAGGTGATGGCGGGAATGGCGGAGTATATAGCGGCCATGGCCGTGGGGGAAGAGGATTCATCTCAGCTGTTGGATCGAGGAGGCTCGCAAGATTGTTGGAAGGATCACGACCCTGAGTCTGTAGCTAAGTTCTTGGCTTACTGCGACGGCCTGAGCGAAGGGTTCATCGGACGGCTGAACCAGAGGATGAGACGTCATCGGTGGGATGATCGGACGGTGGATATGGCGTTTGGGAATAGGACAGCTGAGAGCGCGTGCGATGAGATGGCGCGTCGGATAAAGGCATGATGATTGATCCCTAAGCTGTCGTGGAACATCGTCACATGCTTGGATGACAATGTTTTATATTCTTTTATTTGACGTTGTGATTTGATTTTTTGAATTATTGGATGACAAAATGGTCAGAACCACATATTTTTCGGGTCGAAACAAAAATATATAAACCTAACAATTTTTTTTTTCTCGATCGTCGCAATTAAACCGGGTGTTTTATATACCGGTCCGGTTTGTGATGGACCCGATTTGAACCGATTAAACCCGACCAAACCCAATTCGGATTTGGTCTGAGACAAAAGCCCGGCCCAACAAATATATGTTATGGGTTTGCCCAAACCAGATCGGACCCAAGTTGTGACATTGGATTTGACATTAATTTTTTTTAATAGATATATAATACGGTATCAAATATTCCATGAAAATACATGTAATTGCGTTGATCATGCCATTAGTGATGTTGGGAATGCACAATTTTTGCATTAGGAATATTTTATTGAATGTAGAAAAAGAAAACGACGTTATTGATAAGGCTATTAATTTGTCTGATATATTTATTCAACATATATAAAATAATTTTAGAGGAAATAAAATCAAACTATGATATATATATATATAATCCATAATCCATGATCCATAAGAAATCCTAACCCTAATATTAAACATTTGATAATTTCAATAATAATAATAATAATAATAATAAGCTTTTGCTATATTCTTAAAGACAGATTTGGCAATCATATAAAGCTCTAATATTTTCTTGGCGGAAAGCGGAGGAATATATATTTTTTTTCTCCTCGAAGGAATAAAGTGCCAAATTAATGCCTTATGCCCTTTTTAAAGTTAAAACCCTTTGTTCCGTCGCGAAAGATTTCGGAGTCCCCTTGGCGAAGTTGTCTTGTCTGAGCATGGAGAAGAGCTGCAGAGACTCTGTCGTGTCCGAACTGCAGAAAAAAAAAGTTCATCTCTTTTACTGCTTGGAATGTGAAGAACTCGCTCGCAATATTGCCGCTGAATCCGATCTTATCATCCTTCAATCCATCAACTGGAGGTTTTTTCCTCTGTTTTTTGCTTTCCCCTTTTCTGGGTTTGTTTGTTCGCAACTTGTCGATGATTTTCTCACTTCAAGGTCATTCCTTTTCATCCCCTGTTCATGGGTTCTCGGATTTTTGCATGCGGAAGGAAAGCAAAATTGGGATTTTGTTATATACAAGCTGGATAAAAGCTAAACATTTTTATGAGCGCGTGGCAGCGAAGTGAAGTGAAGTATCGTGGAACTAAGTGGTTGATCGATTAGAGCCTGTTGTGAGCAGTCTCCTCTTGAGTGATTTATTTTCTCTTCAGTGATGCTGTGAAATCCACCTTAAATTCAATAGCTTCTGGGTTGAAAGCTGTTATTGTTGTATCTATGATCCATAGTTTGGGGGTTATGGTTTATGGATTTTGATTTCAGGAGCTTTGCTGATGGATTTCCGAACCTGTATATAAACAATGCGCATGATATCAGAGGCCAGCACGTTGCCTTCCTTGCTTCGTTCAGTTCTCCAGCCGTTATCTTCGAGCAACTCTCTGTCATATACTTGCTTCCCCGCCTGTTTGTTGCCTCCTTCACGTTGGTATTGCCCTTCTTTCCCACTGGCTCCTTTGAGAGAATGGAAGAGGAAGGAGATGTTGCAACTGCTTTCACCATGGCCAGGATTCTCTCTAACATTCCCATCTCACGTGGTGGCCCCACTAGTTTAGTCATCTATGACATACATGCTCTTCAGGTTTTGTCTATTTCCTGTTATAAATTCACATTCTACCACTTTTGGTTCTTCGGAATTTGGCAGGAAATCCGAGTAGCCAAATCGTTTCTTGTAATCTCGAATGATATTCCTTTTGATCATCTTGTGTTCAGCTCAATTCTTTTAAGGGGTTTGTCTCTTCTTTGTGTGGCAGGAAAGGTTCTACTTTGGTGATCAGGTTCTTCCCTTGTTTGAGACTGGAATTCCGTTGTTGAGGAAACGTCTTCAGCAGCTTCCCAAAGATGATAAAGTCAGTTCACATATCCAATCACAGATGACACTTCAAATTCTATCTCCTTTCTTCTTTTTATGGAATATGGAGATACACTGGTGTTATCGATAGCGTTGACATTGCTTATCCCATTTTTCCTTTTTGTTTCTTCTTTTGTGTCGCTTTGTAGAGTTAAAAATAGCATGGCTTTGGTTTGTATCTGCCCTCTTGACCAAAAAAATAAACAGACGCTTTCTTCCATTTTCCAGATAATAGTTGCATTTCCAGATGATGGGGCATGGAAGCGCTTCCACAAGCTGTTGGATGAATATCCCACGGTTTGTAACAATCTGTCTGATTTTTTCAATTTTCAGCTATATCCATTTTTTTTTAGACTCACGTTATTGTGTTATGGGTTCATAGGTGGTGTGCACAAAGGTTCGTGAAGGTGACAAAAGAATAGTTAGGCTGAAGGAGGGAGACCCAGCCGGTTGCCATGTTGTTATTGTTGATGATTTAGTGCAGTCGGGTGGTACCCTAATCGAATGTCAGGTATTGAGATCCACTTGAACTGAAAAAATCCATGGATTTACAGGCAAATATATCTGAACTTTTTTGGAGAAATGTGCCTACAAAACTCTTTTTAAGCCCTTAAGGCTGCGTTTGGATGGCAATAGTCAGAAACCTGGGAGTGTGTTGCCTTTTCTTAAATAGCTTCTTGGTTAGGTTATCGTCCGGGAATTCTTTAGTTCTAAGTCTGCAGATGAAGCTTTTTCTTTGGACTTTTATGTGATTTGGTTGAGTTTCCAATTGAAACTATCATGAAAATGTTTGTTTAACTTGGTTTCTATGTTTTCCTTTTGTCTTGCAGAAAGTATTGGCAGCTCATGGAGCCAAGAAGGTGAGTGCGTATGTAACTCACGGTGTTTTCCCCAAGAGCTCATGGGAGCGTTTCACTCACAAGAACAACGGTAAAACAATCCTTGCAAATTGAAAAAAAAAGTTTCCATCTTTATTAATCTCTTTGAGATTTTCTCTTGTGAATGGACACTGACATTATATCGTATGTCCTCAAAAGGGTCGGAAAATGCTTTCAACTACTTCTGGATCACGGATTCTTGTCCAATCACAGTCAAGGCCATAGAAAACAGGGCTCCCTTTGAAGTCTTGAGTCTTGCGGGATCCATTGCTGATGCTTTGCAGATCTGAGCATAGACAAGTCTTAAGCTAATCTGGGTTGTGTTGTACTCTAGACAATGCCCTTGGTAATGAAATCATGAATAATCTGGTCATCCCAACTAGATCATGACCCTGAGAATAACTTGGGAGACATTACGGAACCTCGCACAGTGTTCTTGTTAATCGTTCTTATTTTGCATTGACTATAATTAGAGTTCTTTTATCAACCAAGTCCACGCGAATCTCATCAAGACTGGTTTGATATACCAATACCTTCTCCGCGAGCAGATTCGTCACCTTCTGCAGATCTTTAAACCAACCTGTTTATACAGAACACAATGCTGCATATGTCTGCAAGTTGTGGGTGTCTGGAGGAAGCTTGGAGATTTTGCTAGTTTTTTCTGTGTTTTTTGTTTTTGTTTTTGCAGTAAGCTTCAAATTAGAAGACAATCTATGTGATCACCATTTTGATGGGATCTGCAAGTAGCTTGTGCATTTTCTGCTACTGAAATGAGCACGAGGAAGAAGGAAATTTTAGGAAGAGACCGAGAAACTGGTTACCGAAATCTCTGGATTAGCTGTAGCTGGTTGCCTTTCTGGAATAAGAGGATTTGAAACGTTTGCATGTATATATATGATTGGAACAAGACATAGGTAATGCCTATGAACATGATCATGTTTTAATACTCAAGTTGCTTTGATCTGTTTTGGCATATGTTGCTTATACTTATGTTCCTTCTAGTTAAGTTAGATCATAAAATATTCTTGTTATCAACTTAACGTTTTCATAAGGTTAAAGGTGCACACTTTGATTCTTTTTTTTTTTTTGGCTCCTCTTTCAATTTTGTAGATACAAATGGAGGGAAGATGAGCTGCAGTTCTACCAAAACTCGCAGTTCCAGCTTCAGAACATTGAACTCAATCAGAAGAAGTTAGAAAAAACAAAGGACACGAGCTATGACAAACACAATCATAGAAGAGGAGGAGTACTTAAGGTTTTGGCACGGCCCGAGCAGGCGCCCAACCGTAAATATCAGAAGAAGGTCCATTGCCATTTGTGAGCAGGTTCGGTGGAAGTCCATACATGTCATCCAAGGGGAGGGATCTGCCATTCTGGTAGTAATTCTGATTCTGGATAGCAGATTCATCGTCGTCCAAAGGAAGACGGTCAAAGACAGCGTTCATGAACGATGAGGCCATGAGGACGACAGGGCCAGAAGCAATAAGCCCTCCAACCACTCCACCACCCACCACCTGTCCCTGATGCCCGGCTAAGTAAATGGTCAGACCAGTGATCCCTGGAGGTGCAGGTGGAGGCAAGATCGATCCCAGCAGTGACAGAATCTCGAAACGGCCATGCAATGTCACGATTGCACCCGAAGAAGCTGGTTGCCTGATCGTGACATTGGTAACACAGCCATTGGCGCTGAGAATGCAGAGTCCTCTCTGCTTCCTTCTTGCGAAATCAGCCAATGCCTCGCAGATATCACAGCCTGAGCTGATCTCCATGGCGTGAGCTCTGAGAGCTTTCGGGCTATCGTGGGTCACAATGATAGGAGGCTTTGGCTTGTTCTTCGAGCCAGCTGGTCTCCCTCTCGGCCGCTTAGCCATCTCTCCCTCAATGACTGAGACCGGTTGAACAGCTTTGGCCATGTTCTGGTTACTGTTTCCTCTCTCAGGCTCCTGGTTTCTGACAGGAACTGACTTGGACCCAACAGAGGTCGGATTCAGAGCTGTTCCACCAGCCATTCTGTGATATGGTTTGGGAAAACTGGATTCGGAGAGTTTAAGTAATGAGATAGAGGGAAATATAATATGGAGGGAGACCCAAAAGAATGATAGTGAAGAGTAGGAGATGGTTAAGTGGATACCAAACTTGTGATTAACAAATAAGTTTTTATAAAATATTTCTGTAGCTGCCTACTTCCCAACTGATGATGGTATTCTCAGATCCATGTCAATTGTCTTCTTCAACAGAGACCCAATTATTAATGTAGAATATGAAACTACCAATTCTCAAAACCATATCTTAATGCATCTGATATGAGTGGGTGACTGGGAAACATTTGAATTTGCAAGTAAAATAATGAAGAGATGGATATGGTTAGGGCTCAACTTTGTCATCTTCCATATTCATTGGAGACTTTCTGTTGTACTGTTGCAGACAGAGCATCAATGGCTTAGACAGAGGCAATGGATAGCAGCAGACAGGGCATCATCGTTGATCTGCCCTGACAGGGCATGCCTGCCTTTGTACACATAGAAAAGCTTTGAACATACTCATACACATCTACTTATACATATACATATACAGATTCAACGGAATATCAAATAAATTAATTCATCATAACAGGTGAGAATCCTTCAGTATGTAAGGGAAGAAAGAAAAAGAAGATACCGAATAGAAATGCACGAAAAAAGAAAACGCATCGGAAAAACTCCCTTTCGATCCGGCCATCACTAATCACTCCTTCGGTGTTAGATACAACAGGAACGAATCTTTCATCATCTGAAATCACGAGGGGATGACACTCTTCCTCTCACCTGATTCATTTCTCCTCCACAGGCAGGTATGGAATGTTGTAATTAGTTGCCAAAGAGAGAAACAGTCAGGACAACATGAGGTTACCCGAGTCAAAATCTCATTAAGTGCTCAGATCAGATTTCTTATTTAGGATCCTTCTCGGGGTTTGAAGTATGGCTATCTGAATGGGCAGGCCTTCTGCTTGTGCCAGTTGATTCCTCTTCAGTTTCGACAATCTCCATGCTCGCTGTTCTGCTCCTCCTCCTCCGGTCCTGCAAAAGAATATACATACATACACACTAACTCAACATTTTTGAAGATTTTTATAGCATTCACAGCAATTCTTATGCATTTATGACGGACAAGGATCTGTACCTCATGAAAGGGATGTTCATCAGTTTCAAGCATCCTTACAACCTGACTCATCTTCGGTCTTTTCTCTGCTTCAGGATCCACACATCTTAGTGCCACTAGAAGCGCACGTTTTAAGGCACGTGTAGTGGGTTTGGCTTCAATGCTTTGATCAACAACTTCTTCAGCTCTTCTTGTTCCAACCATCATCTTCAGCCACTCGACCATATTCACCTGGAAATGGGCATTTCCCCGACATTCATAACGAATTTCAGATGTAATGACAAACAGATTTTATAATTAGTTTTACCTCATTCGCAGGACGGCCATAGTCAACAGGGTCCCTCCCGGTCACAGCCTCCAGAAGCAGGACGCCAAAGCTGTATATGTCGCTCTTCTCATTTAACAAACCTGTATTGGCATATTCTGGTGCCACGTAGCTGAAAACACATTCAAAGGATCTCAAGTAAGGATATAGTATGCAGACGCAAAAGACATCAATCTCCAAAAGGGTACACATTTTTTACACTTACCCAAAAGTGCCCATGACCCTGGTCGTGATGTGACTCTCACCCGAGTCCAGGAGCTTTGCTAACCCGAAGTCAGAGATTTTTGCGTTAAACCCATCATCGATCAATATATTGCTTGCTTTAATGTCTCTGTGGACTACTTTGGGTTCTATTGCTTCATGCAAATAAGCAAGCCTGTAAATTGTGTTTAAAAGGAAATTTTTGAGATGCAAACAGTTTCACTATCTACATGAAAATTGTATTTAGATTTCATGCAAGCTCTGTATTGGCAGCTTAAAAATCTGATAGTCCTAACGAGAAAGGAAGAGATGATATAGCCTGTATCTAAGCAAGCAACATTTCAAGAGTTAACATTTTCAAACAACTTACGCTTGTGCAGTACCAAGAATGATCTTCATGCGGGCCTCCCAAGTGAGAGTGCCATGTTGATGCATGGCTCCATGTAGCCACTGTTCTAAGTTACCATTATTGACATATTCATAAACAAGCATCCTGCACAAAGCCCACATGTAAATTTAGCCATGAGACTTGTTTCTCATGATACCCAGCTAGTTACAGAGGAAATCTCTCCTCCTGCCATAATGGTGAAACTTACAAAGCAGAATTGAAGAAACTGTATTAGCATTACTGTCAGAGAGCCTCACCTGTGAACTCCTTCTATGCAGTATCCTAAGAGCCTGACGAGATTTTTGTGTCGTACATGACCAATAGCCTCGACTTCAACCCGGAATTCCCTCTCAGCCTGTCCCCTGAAGATTCCAATATGGGACAAGGATTGTTAAAGAAACAAGACATAAGGCATGATGTAACCTTTGATTTCACATAAGGAAACTCACATATTGTTCAGAAGCTTCTTCACAGCAACCTCTGCACCATTGATGAGTCTGCCCCTGTAAACTACTCCATAGCCACCCTCGCCAATCACATTCTCTGTAGAAAAACGGTTAGTGGCTAGCTCGAGATCCCTAAGGGTAAACCAATGTCCCCAACCGAGATGCGATATTTCTGGCAAACCAACCAAGGGTGATTCTGTTACAAGACCTCCATATGATAACGAACGTTGCTTCCGAGCAGTAGCAGTTCCAAAGCTCCCTTCTTCACCGGATTGAAAACTACAAGCCCTCTCGTGATGATGAGCGGAACTACATTGACTCAAACTATCATTGTCACTAGACTTGCTTCTGCCCAAGTAAGACAACATTTTCTCCGAGTTTCTGTCACTGGATTTTTCGTTTACTGGGAGGCGTAGGCTTTCGGGATGAGAGTTCTGATTCTGAAACCCAACTCTGTCAACCCTGATATCTTTCGAGACATGTGGTATCGGGTTTAATGGAAACTTGTCAGCTGGTCTTCTGGATTTTCGACGGAACATGATCCATAGAGATAAAACGCAGAGAGCCAAAACTATGAACGTGCCAACTACCAAACAAATCAATACCCACAACTTTACACCCTTTAGACCAAAAAGTGATATAGTTTTCGACATTTCAGCATTCAAAGAACTCTCGGTTGACATCTTTGATCTTGTATCAAACAGTGCCACCAATCACAACTTTGGATCAAACTCCTAGCAAAATTCACACCTGGTACCAAGAAAACGTGCCATATAACCTCGGCATACATCAAGAGGGCTAGAACCCATCTAATTTCCAAACGCTTCACATGCAGAAGCCCTAGAACAAAGAACAATCATGCCATGATTCAAAAGCACGTATCTTACAAGCAAAGGAAGTGTTTTTAACAACTATTTGCTTCTAAATCACTCTGAAAAACTTGAGTTGTCAAGCAAATGGAAGAATCTAATGATTTCAAGTAAGACGTCCGTACAACCAGATTTTCCAGAGATGTATTCACATGCAGAAGCGCACACACACACGAAGAAAAGCAAAACTTCGGAGGGATTCAACAATTAGTTGAGGTATATCAACAAACAAGTAATATGCACTAAGCTGCATCGCGATAACTAAGCATACTGATGTAAGAAAAATCGGGAGAAAGGAAAAAGCCCAACTCTCAAGACATGGAAAAGCATCACTTCCTATCCAAGCAAGAGACAAATACAGAGAAACACAAAAGGGCATCGCGATAAAAATGATTAACCTTAAAATGTGGTGAACCAAGATTTGCCCTTTTGATCTATCTTCCTCTTGGTGCAGAAGAAACAAAGGAAAATGGGCTCCATTCTTTTTGTTTCCGAAGCAAACTGAAGAAAAAGGAGAACGCAGTTGGCATAGATATGCCAAAGTTGAATTGCAGATGAAGTCTCTCTCGAGTGTCGCTTTGAGCCCACCACCAAAACTAGAAACATCTACCAAAAAGAAACCGGCTTTATGGCATGGTAATCGAACGAGGAAACAGAAAATGAACCGGAAAATCTAAGCAACAAAATGCCAGGAATGGTGTATGGGAAGCATATATATACATACATACATACATACGTAAAGGGATGTGAAGACGGAAATATGTATGTGCTGTAAAGATTTTGTGAGGGTAAAAGAAAAGGGCAAAGTTGGGTGAGATGGGTGTTGGTCCCTATCTACTAAAGCTGTAAAGAAGCTCGGTTTGCAATGGAGGAAACGAGAGAGAGAGAGAGAGAGAGAGAGAGAGAGAACAGTGAAGGGAAAGCAATGAAGCGGCCTTTGACAACTGTGGCATTTATAGCTGGTTGAAGTCTTTTGAAGTAAAAATGAAAAAAGAATCTAACAATTTATTTATTTGTTTGATCTCATCCTTTACATTTTAATTAAGAGGAAAAATCTTTTTAACTCCATTTTTTTTAATTAAAATCAATTTCTTAGTTAATGAATCAAATTAAATTGAAATTAAAACTGTGATGCGGACAAAAGACAAATCTCAAAGGCACTATCCTAAATAAGTATAGTATGTTGTTATACGTATATATAAAGGTGTTTTTTTTTTCAGTAAGATATGTGACACATATATGTGTGCGTATTTATGAATATATTAAATTAAAAACGATTTAATTTAAGTAAACCCAAAAGTGCCTTTTCATTTGAGATTATATCCTAATGAGATGTTAAAGCCTATGATGGAGGCTTTATTTGAAGCATATATTTTGGATAAAGTCTCTGCCTTTTTTAAAATCGTCATCGTTTACGTAAATTTTTAGTTTTAATAACATCCTTCAGCATTGTCAGTCAGTCATCAGTGCCACAGAACTATGCATAGACATACGTATTTCTTGTAAGAGAATGGTTTGAATTAACATGTGACTGTAATGCAATGTATTGTTTCAAGGAAAATCAATTCTGTGAACAGTTAGTTGAAATCACAGTTTCCTAACTAATAAAACTATATATACTCTATATATTCCAAATAAATAATTTATATTTTTAAATATAAACATTGAAGGAACAGTTATCAATTGTTGGAGCGGATCCTAAGAAAAATAGATATTTAGATTTAAATTTAATCAGCACATTCACAGTGATCGGTGCTTGGTGGATTACAGCCCAATTTCGTCAGGCTTTTGCAGGAGCCCGTTGGCACGTGTACCTCACGTGCCTTTGAAATTATTAAAGTTTCTAAAATTATGTATATATAATAAAAATGACTCCATGGCCCAATGGATAAGGCGCTGGTCTACGGAACCAGAGATTCTGGGTTCGATCCCCAGTGGAGTCGCAATGTCTTCAATTGTTTTTTTGTTTCCGCATTTGATAAAAATTGAATTCAAATTTCTCCCAAATAAATTTAAAAATTTCCCAGCCTCTCGAAGAAATTGAAATCTCCTGATTAAAAAAAAAAAAGTCATGGCCTTGAACTTCTTCTTCTCCACCTCTCTTCACTCTTCTTCGTCTTCTTCGTCTTCTTCGTCGTCGCCTTCAGTCAAACAGAGACATCATCTGTTCCAGCAACTCCCTCCTCCCTCTCCTTCCGAAACACGCGTTCGATCTGGGCGGAGCGAGAGCGGCGCCACCGACGACGATCCCTCTCCTTCTTTCTCAGGTTCGTATGTTCGACTACAGAACTTGCCTTTTCGATCGATGCCATTTGCAATTTCGTTTTCAAGTTGTGTGATCCTAATATACTCGCTGATCCGTTTCATGATTCATGTGTAATTAATTGTGCTCTGAAGTTTGACTAACCTTGAATTGCTCCGTTTGGAACGGAGACGTTCTTCATCTGTTTGCTTCTTTCTGAATACGTTGATGGGAAACCCATTTCATGCGTTTTAAAAACCATCTGTTTCTTTCCTTGAAGGTTCATTATCATCGGCAAGGACGCAACTCGATTTCTTGGACGGTATGCGATCGCCATTTTGGCTCTCTTGCTTGCATTTAGATCCCGAGTAGAACATTGGTTTTTTCTAATATGCACAATTTCCTCGAGGTCAGGGTACTTGAGTGACGGGATTGGTGGCTCGAGGAATCTCTCAATCCGCGACCAGCTGGCTCAGCTTGTCGGCGACAGAGACGGCGATTTCACCATACCCATGGGTAAAAACCTAAAGAAAGTGAGTCCCAAATTCTTGACCATTTCTCAGAAAAGGAACATTAGGAGGCAATCATACCTTGATGAAGTCTCTCAGAGGAATGATTCCGTGCTCTTTGCTACGATAGGCGCGTTTGTAATCCTCCCGCCATTTGTGATTCTAGGGATTGCTGTTCTAACTGGTTATGTCCAACTCTTCCCCTGAATGTCCTTCTTAGAAAATGCATATAGCAGCAGAGTTTTTAGTTGTAACTTATCCAGAGTGTGTCAAATAATAAAATAGCTGGTATAATCTTTTCCTTGAGATCTTCTGTGTTACATGTTGTTTGAAGGAATCTACAAAAGAGCCAAACATGAAGGGAAAAATTTGTTCCTCCTGTGTACAGTCGGTCTAATATCCTCATGAGTGTGATCACAAGAGGTTAAATATCGGCACAGCTCATGGGCGCAAACCCTAGCCTGGACTTCTTTGTATCATAGATTATATGGAAATTTTGCTGCTGGTAGTTCCCGATGATAGAAAAAGCTGATGTGGGTGTGCCAAGAACTGCTAGGCAGACCAAACTCTCGTCCAACCAGATGAATGTGTTCTTGACCGGGAAATTCCAGACAGCACCATCTGCAAAGGTGATTCCTAGTTCTGGAAGCTCAACCTTCTCCTCCACGCCAGACACGTTAAAGCAAGGATCTAGAATGGGGAAATCTCTAAACACCGGGTACTTTCCTTTCAGCTTCTCTAAGAGCTTGTCCCTGATAATGGTATACGCAGGTTCAGCAAAATAACTTAGAGTCGTACCCGAATCAACGATCGTCCCTCCGGTACCATCAGACGAGATATTCCACGTCCCTTCAGGTATATTCAGAACCTCACCACCAACAAGAATGGATCTTATCTGTACATAGTAAAATGTATCTACAGGATTCTCCTTCCCGGCCACAAAAGTAGTGAAATTTAGATTTGGATGGCTCAGCAAATCCTTGTCTTCCCCGAATATCAACTTGCTACTGACATTAGCATCACTATTTCTGTCAACCAGGCAATAGGAAAAGGAATGGCCATATAGAGACTGGAGCTGTGACGAAAATGAAAGAGGACCTCTTCCTAACCCGAGAAGCCCTGCCGCACCGTGGAAGAGACCCCGGTTCCAATGTCCACAGCCAAACATCACGTTTTCCAGCTTCTTGTACTCCGAGTTCCCGCTCCCTGTCGTTAGGTTAACCGTGAAGGTCTCCACTGCGAAGTCTCCAGTTGTGTTCGAGCTGTCTCCATACCAATAGAAGTAAGGGCATGATTGGTTATCTGACCTGCACGGTTCCAAAGGATCAGGGGATGAGACAAGACTGCATCTTGGGTCACGACATGTTATGTTTGCGAAGGAAGTAGACGCTTTGGGGTCATAAAAAGTCCCGTTTTGCTCGAAACAGTCATAGCAAGGTAGGCACTGGATCCAATTGAGGTCGCTTCCTGTGTCAAGAATCAAAGAATAGTGTTTTGGTGGTGTGCCCACCAAAACGTCCATGAAGTATTCACCGGAACCCTGTGACATGCCGGACTCCAACGTAGCCACGAGCTGACTGGACAGCTCTGCCGGAGAATTCGCCGGAGGAATGGCCGAGGTAATCGTCGTCTTCACCTTCTCTTGTTTCTCACTCCCTCTCAGTTGTTGCAGCCTTGAGACCATGTTCTGGTTCTTCTTCTCCTTAACACGTCTGTGAAGCGTCTGGATTCTTGTGAGATCTCTGACGTTGAGCTGAACGACCGATTTCTTCCGGTCGGTTTCTCGGTTAATCTCACGGTGCTTCAGGTGAAGCCTCACCGTGTTGTTGCCGGGGAATTCTCCGGTCCAATCATCCGGCGAGGAGAAGCTGCAGTCATTGCTTGTGGGATAAGAAACAGAGCTGAAACTCGGCGGATCGGGGAAGTGAAAGCCTGCAAGGCTCGAGATGTTGTTCCCATAGTTTCCGGCGAGAGCTGCAGAGGCAGAGGCAGAGGAAAACGCCGAGAAGAAGACCAAACAAAGAATGAGACAGAGTACGGTCGACATTGGGCTGCCGACAAAACACAAAAGAATAAAAGATCTTGCTCGAAAGTGCAGAGGAAACGCAAAAGTCCGGTAGAAATGGTAACACGGAGAAGAGAAGACCTCTCTTTGGTGTTGTGGAGGAGAGAGAGAGAGGAAAGTGAGTCAGTCTCCAAAGGGACCGATTCAACTCGGTTAAAAAAGGTTTTCTTCGGTCTGATTTTTGGCACCACGCAATAATAATAACAATAATAATAATAAATAAATACTACTCTTGTTGTTGTCGAGTAATGACCAATCCGACGAGAAGCTTTGTCAACTACCAATAATAAAATAGCCTCAGTAACACGTATTGGGAAAATATGGACCAATCAATCCAAGCCCATAACAAATTATGATTCGATTATATGTACTAAATTCTGCATTAAAACCATCATAGTATGTATTGAAGACACGAAGTCAAAGTCAAAGTCAAACGTGAGATTAGGTCGATTTCATGTTCTATTTTTGCCTAACTAAAAGATTAAATAAATAATACTTCTTCCGTTTAAAGAAAGTTGGTCAAACCCCATAGCATTGAGAGACTCACCAATGTACATACCAACAAGTCAAGAGTCCAACGCTTGCACAGATTGGTTTTCCATGTTTTCATTTTCTTCTAATCCGAACCTAACAAACATTTTTACTCGTGCACGTAATCCCAATAGATAAGTTATACACATGAATGCATTAAATTTGTGTTTTCGGATATTATTTTCTTTAAATTCTGTAATGTATACATATTAAAAAAAATATCTAATTATATACATTGGTGATGATATATATATGACATGAAAAAAAAAATATAAAGAAGGCCCAATCAGACCACTCGCAGCATGTGTCGGATTCGGCCCTTTAATGAATAAGAGTTTGTAGAGTGGAATTGAACTCACGAATCCAAACATGGCCCAAAATAACAAAACAGAACTAATCTTATCAAAATGTTAATTCCAACACTGCCCAATATTTAACATTTATATTCACACGCACACACACAAAACGTCACAGAATAAAAGAATATTGCGTTTAAAAGTGTGATAATAAAAAGAATTTTGCGTTTTTTGATTCATTTAATTTTAGAATTTTTATTTTTTAAAAAAATATTTATTTGAGTTTTGTTTAGATTAGACTTAAATGTCTTTTTATTAGTAAATTGTTTATTTAAAAGTCGTTTTTATTCCATTATATTTTTATATTTATTCTTGATTCAATGCGAATTCTATTATTTTATTTCACCTTTTGTATAATAATATAAAATATAGAATTTTCAAGGAAAAAGACAAACGTTTAACATCGGAACAGACAAAAATAAAATAAAAGAATGAGATTAAACATCCATTTTATTTTTACAATCTGCACAAAATACAAAATTAGAACGGCGTATTATGGAACAAATTATGTCATTGGACCCAACAGTGGGTGGTCCAGTGGTTAGAGGTGGCAAAGTCATCTTCGAGGTCATGGGTTCGATTCCACTGATAGGGAGGGATGTAATTTCTGGATCAAAATGGTCCATATACAAAGGCTGGTCTCAGGCCTAGGGTGGATGTAGTCGGGTCGAAGGCCCGGAGAACCATCCTGGTTATAAAAAAAAAAAATATTGTCATTGGTAATTAATTATAATCTCCTTCACTATATATATATAAAGAAAAGATTTTTGAAGTCATTGATTAGTAGGGTATTATTATAGTCCATGTGGGGAGGAATAAATACGACCAATCTTGTCCCGTCCACTAACCATTTCTATCTGCCAAATTTAATATTCCACATCATGAAATCTGTCTCTCCACCTACTTTCTATGAACTTATGATTTTCTTTCTAGGATGGAATTTTAGTATCCCAATACAAAATATATATATCATATGAATTTCTTAATATATGTTGCTAAGATCGAAAATTTAAAAAAAAATTGAAGAAGCCGTACATAATAAGTAATATAACTGTATCGTCAGCTCGTTGGGCGTGTCCCATCCATGCATGCATCTTAATACATTAAAATTCGCAATAAATATTCCACCTATATTTTCCGTATTTTTTTTTATTTTAAATCCATATTTATAATGTTGTAACTTTATGCTAAGTCAATCATATAATTTTCCGGTCATTAAAAGGAGAGGTCTATATAAATTGTTTCCTTACAAGAAACGATTACACACGTGAATAGAATCCCTACGTTTTCTAACCATTGCCATGGCACGGGTCTGTATACCATTACCATATACCTATAATTGAAATGAATCCATATTATACATATCGTACGTACATATACAAGTATCTACGCACGCGTACACGTGTATATATACACTTACACACATATATATATAAATATTAGCCCAGTGTATCGCCGTCTACCTAAAACGATTGGGTATGGGGATACAATCACATTCACCGACAATATGCATAGTAATAGCAATAACTGTGTGGTTTCTTATTACTACAGTTTCCATCGCCGGAGCAAAAGTGCCGGCGATCATAGTATTCGGCGACTCCACCGTGGATTCCGGCAACAACAACTTCATTCCGACCATTGCCAGGGCCGACTTCGAACCCTACGGCCGCGATTTCCCCGGCGGGGAACCTACCGGCCGCTTCTCCAACGGCCGTCTCTCCTCCGATTTCATCTCCGAAGCCTACGGTCTGAAGCCGACAGTTCCTGCTTATCTCGACCCTTCCTACAATATCTCCGATTTCTCCACCGGAGTCTGCTTCGCTTCCGCCGGCACCGGCTACGACAATGCTACCGCCGACATATTAGTAAGCCCCCCTCCCTCCACCCATCTCACTATACACTTTTGTCGGTCTCTATATATATACACTTGCGTAAAAATATGACCTTTTTCGAAAGTGTGGCATATCTATATATATATATAATATATATAGGAAAATGCTTCATGCATGATTTGAGATACATGACTATTTATAGAAGTTAGGGTTTTTTTTCCTAAATATGGCACGATGATTGGATATTACAGGGAGTGATTCCACTGTGGAAAGAAATCGAATATTACAAAGAATACCAACACAAACTCGCGGACAACCTCGGCCGGAGAAAAGCTACGACGATCATCCGAGAAGCTCTGTACGTCGTCAGCATCGGAACCAACGACTTCCTCGAGAACTACTTCACTTTGCCCGACAGGAGATCTCAGTTCACCATCCAACAGTACCAAGATTTTCTTGTCGGAATCGCAGAAGGGTTTTTAAGGAAACTGTACGGGCTGGGGGCTCGAAAGATGTCGTTCACTGGGATTTCTCCCATGGGTTGTCTGCCATTGGAAAGAGCCACGAACTTTGACGAACCGGAGAGCTGCGTGAAGAGCCTCAACGATCTGGCGCTGGAATTCAACGGGAGGTTGAAGAAACTGGTGGGGAAACTGAACATGGAGCTTCGCGGCATGAAGATATTCTTCGCTGATCCGTACGATATTGTATGGGAGCTTGTGAACAGACCCTCCGTTTTCGGTAAAGTCCAAAGAATCTTCTGTATCTGAAATCATCGAAGATTCCTTTCGAATAAGAATCAAGAAAGATGAATTGGAAAATGGATATGGGAATGCATGCAGGACTGGAGGAGGCAGGAACTGCGTGTTGCGGGACAGGAACGTTCGAGATGGGGTTTCTGTGCAGCCATGACAATCCCTTCACATGTACTGATGCCGACGCTTTTGTCTTCTGGGACGCTTTCCACCCGACTCAGAGAACTAATCAGATCGTCTCTGATTACTTCCTCAGCCATCTCAAGCTCTTGTTTCCTTGATGCCCGTTTCCTGACATCACACTCACTCTTTTTGGGATGAGCTAGTAACGGTTTCTTGTTATGCAAGAAATCCATAGAACCCTTTTTTAAGATGATGATTTTTTGAGGATTCTTTCTATAATTGCCAGCTAGATTTTTTAGCATATGAATGAAAAATCAAAATCAATGACTACAATGTAACTCGTACGCTTATGAAAGTCATGGAACCGTTATATATATATATATATTCAGCTGAAACCATAACGGAGAAAAGATTGTACATAAATAAAACAACAAAATCAATATATAGGATTTTTATATATATCGTGTATATTATCTCACAAGGTGGGGACGGGGTGCTTGAGTAGAGTGGACACCTTTGTCCAGATCAAAGAATGGTCGAGAAGCTCTCAATGGGGTCGGACTCTTCGAGCATGGACGCAGCCTGGAAGCAGTCCGTGGCATCAGCCACGCGTCCGTCGTGTTTGTGAACCATCCCCAAGTAGTACCATGCCATCCGGTTCGTCGGGTCCAACTTCAACGCGTCAGACAGCAGGCTTCTCACCACCGGTAGCGTCGGACTGTGATCTTTCCCTCTCTCCGACAGCAGCGAGCTCAGCTCCACTATGCATGGAACCGAAGTTGGGTCCAATAACAGACCGTCCAAGAATGCCGATATCGCAGCTTTCCCGTCTCCTCGTCCCACCCACATCCGACCTGACAACCACGAAAAAAATTCAGACATTATGGTACTGAAACTGTAACAGTTTCCCAGTTGAAAAGTGACAGAGTGATTGCCTTCTGTATGCAGCATTGATGCAGAGTACTGTTTCAGTTCTCTGGCCTTTTCCAGACATACTTCCACGTCGTTCCAGTGCGAGAGGCTGGAGTACAGATTCGCTAATCCATGCCAGACTTCGAACTCGTTGACTTTGTCTTCCTCCAACTGTAGTTTGTCGGAAAAAAGGTGGCATATAAAAAGACAAAAACTTGATCTCATAGACTGGAGATACGGTCTGAGAAAAATGGAACCTGAGTTACACTTCTGAGTGGTCCGAAAGATTTTCTCTGGGCTTGAACCAAAGCAAGTAGATAACGGTATGTCTCGATGGCTTCTGTCGGCTTCGACTGAGCGATCTTCAGCTTCGCTTTCAGCCTGAGAAGCGGCCCTTGATCCCATTTAGCGGTCTCGTCTAAAGCGGCATCGACCACGACCTCGGCCTCCGAGAAACGTTGCTGAGCCGATAAAACGAGGGCGAGGAATCTCCATCCCTTCAGCACGGAACCTCCAGTCGCGTCGATGAACTCCTTTGCATAACGTGAAGCAGCCTTTAGATTCCGTTGCTCCGCGTATTGAACGCCTAATTCGAAGATCAGATCCGGGTTGTTGTGCTCGAAAGCTACAGCTCCGTCCAAAGCTTTCAACGCTTCTGACTGGAATCGGGATCTTTCGAAATCGGACGAGGAGATTTTCGCTCGTTTTCCCAAACAAAGACCTAACATTCGCAAGCCGACACCTTTCAGATGCTCATCCATCCCTTGAGCATGGTCTATACCTCTCTGAGCATAGCTGGCACCCTCTTCCGCGAGCCGAGGATCCTCGCTGCAGAGCTTTGCAGCCATCAAGAGAGCCACCAGATCATCGGGCTGTTCGTGTTTATGCAGAGACTTCCTCAACAGATTCACGGCGGCACTGCTCTGCCCGGCTGCACTGTACGAAAGAGCCATACTGTTCCAACGCTCGACACGATTGAAGACACCCGGCATGATTTCCTCAAGCTGTTTCGCCAAAACAGAAGTCTGACTGCACAGAGAGAGCGCAAAAGTGAGGTGTTCGATTACCGATGGGTCCCATTTCGCCTTACCAAGGTTGAATTTCTTCAGAAGGATCATCAGAAGAAGTATGGCCTCTTCTAAGTTATTTCTCGGCACATAAGATCCCTCAATCTGAGAACCCAAACTCGGGGGACTGGCTTCCACTCCGCAATGTAAGAGGAACACGGCAAAACATTTCTGAATCCGAGCACATCGGTCATTGTCTAGATTCCACTGGCTGAGAAGTGCCCTTCTATAAGCCGATATCGCTTCTTGATAATCGCCAGCCTCTTTCCAGAGCTCCGGGAGCAGTTCTACAGCTTGGCTAACGGTCTCCTGAAGTCTGTTATCCACTTGAGCATCGGGTATTCCCAGTTGAAATATCTTCTCCACAGAATCAAGAACACTTTTACATTCACGAGCAGCCTCTGTGAAACCAACAAAGAAAGGGCTTAGAGGAAGACCGAGCAGATTCTTCTCTTCCGTTTTCTTTCTTTCCGTATCTCGTTATTACATTCAACTAGCTTTTATTTAGTCTTAACACTGAATTCTTGATGGAAAAAAAAAGACTCACCGGTTAATCTTCCAAGCTTTTGAAGGGATTTGGCCTTCAGATATATAGCCTCGAGGAGCAAGCTAACTGCATGTTGTGAAACCGAATGATTTGAATCACGGGAACGGTTTTTCTTAGGAGCTGGCTTCTCAGGGACCGATGCCTGCAACCGCTGTATGGCTGCATGGAGATCGATACCTTCAAACACACGAAGGGCGCCCTCTAGATTCCCTCTTTGGTACTCCAACCTTCCAAGAAGTGCTCTCGCCTCCTGTAAAATGTAGTAAACCATGAAACCCGGAGAAATCATGCCATTGAAAGAATAAATATGCCCTTTCAAAGTTTAAAATGATGGGATAAGTATGATTCAGCTCTTAGCCAACTGGATCTGATGCAAACAGAAAGAGCAGATGCATTTATCAACAAGTATTTTTTCCGTGACTCGGGAAGCAGAATCAACTAGCAGACACTTAAATGCTAATCCCGAAATCTATCGATTTTATCCACACTATAGACTACCTCTAGTATCAGCTTGAAGGATGTATCATCAAAGTTGAACTCGAAGTACAATGCATGTAAGTAAACATACATGTCGGAAAGAAGAATAAGAGAGTTTAACAATCCTTTCCAGACAACTGCTCTATGTCCCACTCCTAGTAATAAAAAGGAAAGATGGTTGAAGTACACACAGCATGGAACTCCACTAGTATAAGAACTGATACATGTTTCAATCCAAAAGACAAGCAATAAAATCCCGAAAACCAATCAACAGTTTTCTAGCTCAGTGAACCATTCAATGTCTTTGCACTGATGAAAACGAGTTTGTTCTGCAAGAAATACAAGTAGTTCCTCGCCTTAGAAAGGCCTTAAGCCTCGCCATATAATGTGCCAATGCCTGAATTCGAAATTAGCCAAATTACCAGTCTGGTACTATCACGTTGTCAAACTCAAAGAGTACAACCTCGTACTAGAGACATCAGGAAAATCACTTTAGGAGTCATGTCATGTTATACACATGAAGAAGGCAATGCTAATTCGTATTTGATATGTTTTCCATCATTCTCATACTAGCTCAAGCAATATCGATCAAATGTTTCAGACCATGATCACATTGAATCAGATATGACTCCGGAATCACTTACCTCAAAATTGAGAGATAATCCCTCTCTCAGAGAAGATTCTGCCTCTTGAATATTTCCCTCATCGAGCTTTGCTTCAACTTCTGTGGTTTTCATGCAAATCCCATTTGCACACAATTTTCGGACGAGCTCATCTTCCCCATTCTCGCTACCCTCTGCATATTGGTTTTCGAGCATTTTTCACCTTTAATTTTCCGCATATATTTGACTCCCTCTCTTTTATCTTTTCAGCAGTCCAAACACCAATCCATCATAGCTCGCAACTGCAGCACTTTGAACAAATAAGAACAAGCGTAACAATGAGCATGCGGAAAGAATGGATAACGTATCGAGGATTAAACAATAAGGTGTCTTATCATTACTGGGATCCTGTTCCTCGTCCGGTTTAGCTGTAATACAAGGATCAAACTTTCCATAAGTAGAACAAAGGATTCGAGTGCTAGTTCTTTGGGTGGACTCTGAAAAGCTCAATCTTTGAGGTGGATTCCAGAAAATCTTTCATTGTCATCGATTTCAGTCCATATCTTTCTTCCTTTTCAGTTAGTCATGCATCGAGACAAATATTCTAACCCAGAATTTCGCAGAAACCAGACATCTTAACCATTAGTTTCACATCTTTAAAGGACCCACCAAATGAGACATCCAAGCCCTAAGACAAAAGCCTAACTTTGTCATCTTTCTTTCTGACTCCGACTTTTCCCCCTCAACAAACAGACATCCTAAGAATGTTGCCAATCATTCTCTTGAAGAATCACAAACTATACCCATTTCCTTCTCCTGTTCCCAGTTTAGTTTGTTTACAAATTTGTATTGCTTGGTTTACCAGGAAAATGCAATTCCAAATTCAACAGGAATTCCTGCAACGTGGGACCTCACAAGAAACGATTTCGTCAACGCCATGGCCTTTAGCCGGCGGCGATCAACGTTCAGGCAAATTCTCAACCATGAACAATGCACGTTTTTCAAATCCCTTCCTTTTGATCTGAAATCGTCTCCCAAGAAACTGAAGAAACAAGAGAGAGAAAGAGGGAACGGAATAATCCTCCGTACCTCCGGTCATTAGTCATATTTCGAACAGACAACGGAATGCGGCGGCGGGCCAGAGAAGTCACCGGAAACCGATCGAATCGACGACCTGAAGAAGCTGCATTCAAGAATTTTGCCAGCCGAGAAAATCGGATCAGAGGTTGGGGAGAAGAAAAAATCAGATCTCGAATCTGTTTGACAGAAGCCCCAAAGAAGAAAATGAAGAAGAAGAAAAAAAGCAACCTTTTTCCTCTGCTCTGCGAAATGTCTTTCGTTCCTGTGTTCCTCGTTTTTTGATCTTACGGAGTCTTCGGAGCCGTACGTGGTCCGTTGTCTGAGGAACACGAACGGAACAGCTTCGCCGAAACGGCGTAATTTTGAGCGCCCACAAGGGGTGTTTTCGTCAATTCACTTATACCAGCCCTCCGGCCTTATATTTTTCTTTTATTTTTTTTCTTCAACTTGGTTATTTTTTCCCCTTAATTCGGTGTTGTTTGTAAATATCCATTTCGAAGGATAAGAAGTCGAAAGAAGAGACGCCTTCTTCTTCTTCTTCTCTTCCTCCTCCATAAAGCTTCGAACTTGAGATGTCACAGACTCTATTTCTTAAGCCATTCGTTTCAGTTCCATCAAGTAATCAGAGGTTTCATTTTCTCTGCCCTACTCTAGGTTTCACCCCTTTTCTCTTCGCCGTTTTGGGGGGCAATGTTTTTTTTTTGGGTCATGATTTTGCTTAAAAAGGGATAATTTGATGGTTTCGTTGATGGGTACGGAGAAATATATGTAAAGGAGAGGACTTTTTCTGGATACATTTGCGGGCATGCGTAAACTGGGTTTGGTTCTGTAATTTTAACCGATTGTGTTAGTTGTAGCTGTGCTTTTATGAGTTGGTTTTGCGTGAGCTTTTAGGACTACTTGGGTTTATGCTGTTTCCGTTGTCCGAACAAGTCGGTTCATCGAGTTTTTTGAGAGATATTTTTTTTTGTCGAAATTTGTTCTCGTAGGTTGATGGTTTTGTTTCGACTAATTGTGTCTTTTGGTATTAACAGACTCCGGATTTCTTATATTTGTGTCAGCCTAAGGAACGTACAAAGTAGCATTAAAAATGGCGGCGTCAGAATTCAGAGTAGATTTAGAGTTGTTTGCATGGGAATGTTGGCACCAAGGAAATTCTTGCAGAAGAGGAGGAAAATGGAGGTATTCAAGGATGCAGCTGACGAAGAAGATCAGAAGAGGTGGAGAGGACTAATGAAAGAGATCGAAGAGACGGATTCTGCTGTCGCGGTGCTTCGAAAGTATAGAAACGGCAGTGACCAAGGTCTCCCAAGGGACCTTGTTTTGGGCACCTTGGTCAGATTTAAGCAGCTAAAGAAGTGGAAACTTGTGAGTGAGGTATGCAGAATCAGTCCTTATATATTCCAATCTTGCTAAACGGTCATGGTTATCTGTGTAGACCCGGTTGAGGATATATGTGTTTTTCTTTGCCTGAATGAAGCTTGTGAGTAGAAGATCCCCATAACCGAACAGACTTTCAATTGCATATTTGCTCAAGAAAGTTTCCAATTTGATTTTGACCGTGGCTCGCTCTAGGTAGATCTATCATATGAGGCTTCTGAATTGTTTGAGGCTTATGATATTGCCATTGTCCAAAGCGGCATCTGTTAAGATACCGGAGAAGTTCTCTACGGGCATGATTATCATTGGGAATATTAGAATATTTGACCCTTTGCAAAGATCTTGAGGAAACAATTTGCATTGGTGTATAAATCTATTAGCTTCTGATTGTTACCAAGTTAGCATGTCACATTATCTGGTGGATTTTTCCTTGTTTGCTTTATCCTCCAGATTCTTGAATGGCTTAGAACACAGAGCTGGTGGAATTTCAACGAAATGGACTTTCTGATGCTTATTACAGCTTGTGGGAAACTAGGGGATTTCAATGGGGCTGAAAGGGTTTTAAGCACAATGAAAAAAATGGGCTACAAGCCAAACGTGATATCCTATACCGCTCTAATGGAAGCTTACGGAAGAGGAGGAAAATACAACAATGCTGAAGCTATCTTTCGGAGGATGCAGTCATCAGGCCCAGAACCTTCTGCTTTGACTTACCAAATTATACTTAAAACATTTGTAGAGGTGATCATTAAAGCTCAAATATTCTCATATGTGTTACATGCATTGCAATAGTTTTCATAAATTAATTTCTTGTGCTTATGGCTTAGTGAGTCTCCTTCAAATTTGTGCTGCAGGCGAGTAAGTATAAAGAGGCGGAAGAAGTTTTCGAGACTCTCCTCAATGCGGAGAAATCCCAAATGAAGCCGGACCAGAAAATGTACCACATGATGATATACATGAACAAGAAAGCTGGGCACTACGACAAGGCTCGTAAACTATTTGCACTAATGGCTGAGAAAGGGGTGCCACATTCCACTGTCACTTACAACAGCCTTATGTCCTTCGAAAATAATTATAAAGAAGTTTCCAAGATTTACGACCAGGTCTACTCAAAAGTCCTTTCCTACTTTATGTTACATGATCCTTTTTATCTGTTTTATTGTTGGTATGAGCAATCTGATAAGTGTTCCACATTGGAAAAAGAGAGGGATTTGGGGCCAATATATAAGGAGGGTCAAACCTCCACTCCTAAGCTAGCTTTTGTGGTGGAGTTAGGGCCTAAACCTTATTACAATCACCCTCAAGAGATTTGTTTCCCCATTTGTGATATGATTATCTAATCATTTGAATTGAATATTTACTTCAGATGCAGAGAGCTGGTCTTCAACCCGATGTTGTCAGTTATGCCTTGCTTGTCAGTGCATATGGAAAAGCCAGAAGAGAGGAAGAAGCTCTTGCTGTTTTTGAAGAGATGCTGGATGCTGGTGTAAGGTCAGTAGGTATTGCCATCTTTTATGTTGGATTTTTCGATTTTTAGATTTCTGACTCCTGTGACTTTTGTCTGTGGCTGGATATTTTTCTGGAGTAGATTCCTGCCGGGCTGAATACAATGCTAAATCCATCATTTTTTTAGTTGGATATAATCTTGTCAGTTATAGTGTATATAGTCATTTATCTTCTTCAGGCCAACGCATAGAGCATATAACATATTGCTTGATGCATTCGCGGTTTCTGGGATGGTGGAGCAAGCGAAGACAGTCTTCAAGTGCATGAGACGTGACAGGTAGAAATTATTTCTAAGTATCCATTGTTGTGTTACTGCTTCAAATCTTCTCTAGGAGCACCTCTCCTTTAGTTATTCCCGTACTTGGAGGATTTCACTTTGTTGATTTCCTTGCAAAGTGAACTGCAGAGCCCTTGTCAGATGCTTGCATGCTAAATTTGTCTCGTCTTTTTAGATGGTTGAATGTAACATAACTTCTTTCCTCCCAGGTTTTATCCAGATCTCTGTTCTTACACAACTATGTTATCAGCATATGTGAATGCGTGTGACATGGAAGGTGCCGAAAAATTCTTCAAGAGGTTAAAAACGGACGGTTTTGAACCCAACATCATCACCTACGGGACAATGATAAAAGGGTATGCCAAAGCAAACGACCTCGAGAAGATCATGGAGGTATATGAAAAGATGAGGTTAAGTGGCATAAGAGGTAATCAAACCATCTTAACCACTATCATGGATGCATTTGGGAGGTGCAAGGGTTTTGGGAGCGCTGTTTCTTGGTACAAGGAGATGGAAACTTGTGGGCTGCCACCTGATCAGAAAGCCAAGAATGTGTTGTTATCATTGGCTTCAACCCCAGACGAGCTTGAGGAAGCTAAGGAACTTGCTGGAGTCTCTGTCGAAAATAGAAAGGGAACGCATGTGGATGGAGTTGATGATGAGGATGATGATGAGGAGGATGATGATGATGATGATGATGATGATGCGACAAAAACAGTTTACTATGACAAAACACAAGCAGGTTCA